AAAAAAAAAAAAAAAAAAAAAAAAAAAGAATGAATCAATGCAGCACCTTGGATGGACCTGGAGGCCATTATTCAAAGTGAAATAACCCAGGAGCAAGAAGCCAAATACTGCACATTCTCACTTCTATGTGGAAGCTAAGCAATGGGTATGCATAGTCACACAGAGTGACTTAATGGACACTGGAGAATTAGAAGGAAGTGAGTGGAAGGGTGCAGAATGAAAAATTACTTATTAGGTACAATGTGCACTATCCAGGTGATGGGTATACTAAAAGCCTACACTTCTCTGCTATGCAATTCATCCATGTAACAAAACCCACTTGTATCCCCTAAATCTATTTAAATTTTTAAAAAGTGGGGGAAAACCTGGGACCCTTGGGCCACAAGTGGCCTTCAGGATCCTTGAGTACAGACTTTTGACTGAATCCATATTTTACAGAATAAATCTTTTTAATAAATGGATTTGTTCTGTGAAGTTTGGATTTGATTGAGGAGCCATGCTTAGGGATCTAGAGGGCCACAGTGGCCTTGAGGTGGCATCTTCCCCACCCCTAACTGGTCCTCGACATAGACAGACTATTTTATTGATTCAGATCTGAAGTCCCCCTCCCCCTGGGGACGGGGTGACAGAGCGTCTGGATTCTCCTGATATTAGTCCAAGTCCTAGTTAGAGTTTGCCATTTTAACAACTATACCTTAGTGTTAATAAGAAGCAGTTTGTAAGAAAGTAATATAATGGAAATAGTGGGGGTAGAAGATGAGGCAGGAAGAAAATCTTCCTTTAAGGGAAGTGGAAACTTCTCCAGACCCCAGTTATAAAACAAGGGCATTCTTTTCTCACTCCTTTAAGAGCCTAACCCTTCCTTTCAGGACCAGGAGTATAATAGGGTGGTCAGGCCCTGGCTCTGTCACTAAGTAGTAGTCAAATCTTTCTAGTGCTAGAAAAATAGGATGGGGTGCCCTGGGGCCTCTTTAATATCCCTAACTATGATAGGGCTTAGGTAAAGTAACCCTGATACAACCTGATACAATAGTGCCTAAGAAGAAAACCAAAGAAAGAATTGTTGGCTGCCCAAGTAAAAACCATGTGAAAAAATGGGTATTCTCTACTGTTGTTACCCAATCTTAGGGCTCAAGCCCAGAATAGCAGGATTTAATGTGGCTTTTAAAACATACACAAGCCCCCCCTCCCCCAAAAGATGGAGACTTCACATCTTTTATTACCTGGATGGAGCATATTCTTCTTAGTAAAGTATCTTAAGAATGGGGAAAAAAGTATCCAATGTGCTCAATACTACTATGAAATCAATATATAATCACCTACGCATTCATACGAACAATAAAACATAACTATAGTCTAGAAAGTAGGAGGGAAGATGAGGGAGAGGGGAGGGGACGGGGGAGGCTGAGAGGAGGGAAGGTTTTTGGGGGGAAACCTCACCTAATGTGAATAAATGGTACATTTCAAAACTATTAAGAAAAGAATATTGGATACTTTTTCTTCCATTCCTGTGATACTTTGCTAAGAAGAACATTTTCCAGCTCCATCCATGTGAACACGAAGGACATAAAGTCTCCATCTTTCTTTATGGCTGCATAGTATTCCATGGTGTACATATACCACAGTTTGTTGATCCATTCGTGGATCGATG